TGCAAACCTAAATCTCTAAGGAGTTGCAAAAAACTTCAGGAACAATGGAGGGGAATGGGTCTAGGAAGAAAAGTGGCAGGAGAGGGAACGTTATTCTGGCTAACATATGGTCAGTCATGCCTGTATAAATGCGATGCTGCTCACTTCTGCATATTACAGTTCAGGAAAAAGAATTCTCTAAGGTCCCTTCCAACCTAAGCCATTCTATGATTAGTAGTTGTGATCTTTGAAGGAAAAACCAGAAGAGCTGAGCTGGCTTACTTTACTGAAGAGACGAATGAGGAGAGACGTGGCTGCCATCTTTGCAGAAACTTTTCACATATACGAGGAGAATACCCTGAAGTTTCTTGTCCAGGCTTCACTGAGTGATTAACAGGTGTTAAGTGCAGCCAAGGTGACCTTTTGGAGTCTTCAGCTACACAGCAGTCTGTGCAACTGAGCAGTGACATCACAGAATAACAGCTATAGAATTTGTTGGAAGGATAAAAACAAGCTAGACTAAAGTTTTTTTTACCTCTCTTTTTGTAGCTAAATATTTCTTGACAAGCAAAAAAAGCAAGTTACTTGTTTTGCTTTCTTGACTTGACTATTTCCACATCCCTTTCAAGCCCTATATTTCGTAGGGCCTTTTAAAAAATGTTGTAAATAGGGTTGTCTTGCTGATTATGTAACAACATAAAAGCAAGCTTAATTATGTCCCCAGTATTAGGGAAATCTCTACTGCCCTTTGTGTAATGTCTTGTGGCCCTTAAGTAGGAAGGTGGCAGTGATCGCTGGGACAGTGCTGACAGAGCAACTTAGGGTTGTTGTCCCTGACTGAGAAGCCTCTACCTCATAATTTTAGGTTTAGGGGGCTGGAGAGGTTATTGGGATGCACAGAAAGTGAACACAGAGTGTGAATGGTGTATAACTCCTGGCTTCAAGGGATTTGGCAGAGGTGAGGGAGAAAAGCATCTGGAAATAGCTCTGAATTGGCTTATTTGGGATTGCGGGTGACAGTGCTGTCTGCATGATGGTCGTTAGAGCCTTAGGGTTGGGGACTTGGGATTGAGGAAATAAGATGACTAGCTTGGAGTTATTTGGTTTAATTTCAGTGATGGGCTGTGTGGGATTATAATTGAGAGCTGGAGATATCTGGGTTGGTACTGAGGGAGGGGAGTGGTGGAGTATTAGTGTGACAGGAGGTCTTTCCTTCCCCTGCCACAGCTATTTTCACACTATATTTATTGCGTGGGGTGGAGAGCAGCCCAGCACAGGAGCCAGTCTGAAGTCTTAAACTTCCAGTCCTAACAAGTAAATCTCTACTGATTATCTTGCTGAACTGCAAATAAAGAGCTTTCCAGGTTATGGACTGTGACAGTTTGACTAACTTTGTTTTGGCACTCAGTCTTAAAATAAGTGAATGCAGTACAGCTACATTTGGAATGTGTTTCTTTTACGTAACAAAATACTTTTTTAAAAAAAAGCTGACCAGTAAACACACTTAAATGTGACGATGCTTTTAAGATTTTTTTTTATTAGGCTGTGCTGTTTCAGGTTTAGCCTGTTCGTGTCTATTTTTCTTCTGAGTCTCATTAACATGAGTGTTTGGCATGGAAGTAGGATGACATCAGGGCACAAGCAATATATCTGTTTGCCATAAGGAAACCTATGCCTCTGCTTTAATTCTGATGTTTACCTCTGAAGCTTTTGCAGTTGCTGAATATGAACTGCTTAAAGCTCATTTTGTTTTGGTTTGGTGAAAGTCTGTCTCTGTTAATAACTTATACTAGCTCTTTGAAACAGATCTCTTGATAGCTCTGTATATTACAGAAACAGTGCTGAATAAACGACTTTGGGAGATGAACATCAAACCGATTTCCCTGAAAGCTCTTGCTGTCTGTTTATGGCAGTGTGACTGGTGCTTTCCTTTGTCAGGCCATCACAGGATATCTCTCTGAATGCTGGTTGTGCCCTATTTACCAGTGAAGGCTTGGGGCTGTTAACCTCCTGCAACACCTATAGATACAGGACTGACTCTCAGTTGGGAGGCCATGCTGGCAGTCTGTTAACAGGGAGATCAAGTCTTGATGCCAGTGCAAGTGAAATGAAGAAGGTTCAGTCCTATGCTGAAGAAATTAGCGGTCCTGAGCTTATGGTGTTGTGAAGACTGAAAGGATTTGCAAAAGGTGCAGGTGGTAAGATTGACTTAAGAAGCCTTCTTAAACAACAAACTTCTAAGGTCAGGGAGTGACAGTGAACAGCAGGGAGGGAGCAAGCTCTGAGAAGTCTTTCTTTGCTTTCTTTTTAGCGTTTGGAATTAATAGAGGGAGGTAGAAGCTTGTGTGTGCCTGGTAGATACATCAGAGGTAGAGAAGTAAAGACTTGGGAAAAGAGAAACATGCAGAAAGATCTGAGAAGTAGAACATTCTTCCTGAGCAGCAGGAGAAAACGAGCTCGACTCTTCTGGATGCTCAGGCTGTGATGTATTCTGCAGCTCATCCACTGGACGGTAACTGGGTAACTACATTCTCTAAAACCCTCTTACTGAGTTAATGGTAATTCAGTTTAAGGACATGGCTCAGCCAATTTAATGCCTCTTATGGAAAAAGACAGCCCATTTCACAGCTTCATTGCCCTGCTGCTTTATGGTGTCTGTGCTCGTCTGACCTGTGTTAAGCTCACTGAACTTTCAGAACACTAATGGAACACGAAAGTGTGTATAAGGCATGCACTTTGTGCATCTTGGGATTGGTTTGGGGACAGTAACACATGAGTGAGTGTACCATACTGTTAAACGACAGTAAGCTGTTAAGCTAGCTCTGCTGTTTTGTGAAAACTTTGCTCTTAGCAGAAATTCTATTTTGATACAAGTTAAGTCAATCTTAATGTCACTTACAGTGGATGTCTGATGTCTCATTGGTAGCCTATTACTGAGTTGATATGAAGTTACTTAATGCTTAGCACTGACTACTTGAAAATAAATACTCACAGATTGGTAGTAGTAAGTGGTGCGCTGACATAAAGAATGAATGTATTTACATAGTTTACCAATGAATTCTATTGTAACAGGGTGACTTACTCTTCTAAATGTAAAGCAAGAGTACATCTCACCAAGAATTTCACTATACTGTTAAAGGTATAGAGTAGCCTACTCTTCTGTATATGCAACATGAATTCAGAGTGGTAAACACATTTTATCTGTGGAGTAATATGGTGCTATACCTAGCACCAGTTAAAGCATGCATTTTCTGTTGTAAAAATATAACCAGCTATAAGGGGATTTTTGTTGTATCTGTGCATTTCTAGTACTTGAGAGTTTTAGATGGCTATGGCATGGGATCCTGATACGACTGTTTCAAGCTGGTTCTTGTCTTGTGTATCTACTTTATAACGCATTCCTCTTCTTACCCCATTGCTCCTGCTAGTGTCTTACTGTATGTGGATAGGATTGGGGTCATTGTATATCTCTGTTGTACCAATTTCAACTTAAATTTTTTTTTGAAAGCGTATGTAGTAAAAATGCTACTGCTTTTTTAGTATTTGAAAAAATTACTTATTTTGTTCTGTATGTACAGACAATCTGAAAATTCAAGTGGCTGGCCTGCTTCAGTTCAGTCCTTGGTGGCTGCTAAGTACAGAACCTTATTGTTTTCTTAAGGTTGCCAAATTTCTTGAATTAGTAAGCCAAGTGTGTGGTAAATACATGAATATCAGGTTAACTTTCATCTGCATGGAAACTTAACTGCATTGTGTTTGAAAAGACAGACTACTGACCAGGTCAGTAATAGCTGTTCAGATCACTTTCCCTTTTTTGTTAAATATCCAGTCAGAAGCTGCATAGTTATCATTTTGTCCCTTGGTACTATAACTCGGTGTTCTTAGAAAGGTTTAGGATTAAGGAAATAAACAGGAGCAAGTTTGATAAGTACTGTGCTCAAAAGCCTTGGACACTTGAATTCATGTTTTATTTCTGCTTTGTTGCCAGAAGAGGGAGTAGTGATCTAACTTTCTAATCTTTTCAAAATTATTTACATCTGTTCTAGCAATAGTATGTCAAATTGAATGTTTTGAAGGTTGTAATTTTTTATTTATTTTAGAGGCAGAGGGACTGAAAGGGGCTTGACAAGGATTTTTAGGTTTTGACACTTTAATTATCAGCCTTCTGGTTTGGAAACTGTTGTGGGATATTTCAGCCTCATAGTAAGCTTGCTTGTCATCTGAGAATGTTGTGTTGCATGGGGTTATTGTGTGTTTAAGTTTTCCTTGGTTCTGAGGTGGGATGTGTCATTGGAACAATGGATTCGTAATCTAGGGTAAATTAGTATCAGTTGGGTCAGTCTTCTTCAACAGTACAAATACTTCTAAACTAAGAACTTGAGAACTCCTTTTCCAAAGCTATGAAGATATGCTTGGTTATTTGCCTCAAGGAAGACCTTGTGACAGTGATAGGGGTTGAAGGGATGTGGTTGAAACAAGAACACAAATAATACATATGACAGATCTCAACACTGGCAATGCTTGACTCCTGGAGGGGAGCATGATTTTGATTTAAAGCAGTTGCTCTTAAGCCATACTAACATGAATAAAAGTGACTAAAAATTATGATTCAGCTAGTGAAGGTGTTTATGCTGCACAGATTTACTCAGAGGTGCTTAGTGTTTCGAACTTCAACATGTGAAAGTAATAAACTTATCCTGTAATGTGGTGTCTGTTTAGCACGAGAAGGACTTGAAAGCTCTTCTATAACTGTAGTGTGTAGGTTAGGAAAAGGTGTCCAGGTAACAACTTGGAGTTCAGTATTACTTAACTCAAAATAATGAGTAAAAGCAGTATCAACCTCTTTTTTTTTTTTTTACTGGTGTAGCAGTTCAGTGTAAGGTGACTAAAAGCCAGTGTGGGCTTATTGGGGCAGAACAGCTTCTACACAGAAATTTCCTGTACACAGCAGTTTCATTTCTTTCTAGAACTGCTGTGTATTTCAAGACTGATTTACTCTCTATTCCTTACATATTACATAGGTCTAAGAAAATCTACAAAGAAGCGCAGTGAATCACCACCTGCTGAGCTCCCCAGTTTGCGGCGGAGCACACGGCAGAAGACCACGGGCTCCTGTGCTAGCACCAGGTAAAACTTAAGATAATGAAACAAGATTGCTTCAGTGGATTGATTTTAATGTCCTTTTCATGTATGAAAACAGGCCTTGCCTATCTCTTTCTTTGCTGTTGTAGAACAGCTGTTGTAGAAGTAGCTGTATCTTTTCAGGCCTGCTAGGTTACTCTGTACACCAGTGTCATGGATAGTGCATAGAATTGGTCACCATCAGACCTTCATAAGTCCCTCAGCTGTGGGGTGGAGGGAAAGAAACACCCAAAGCCAGTATCACCAAACACAAGAGAGAGAGAGTTCTAAACCTACTGTACATCATGAATAATAGAATAGATGACTTTAGAAAAATCAGACTTCATGGTACCACACAGGAGTCTTGCTTTAATAGTTTACGTTGTTAAGCTGACTCAGCTTGTCAGCAGCTGCATCTGAACAATACTGCAAATACCGAAGTACTTAATATACTTTCTGATGCAGGGGGAAAGTAGTCCTGAATTAGTAGTTTTAAACAGCTGCTAGTTTAAATGGGAAGGGAGAGTGTGTCCTGCGATGCAAAAAATTTTGTAGTTGCATATGTTCTGAAGCTAGACTTAAGAAGCCTTAGCAAGCTTTATTTTTTCTTACACCTAAACTACATTTAGTAGTTCCAACACAACTTGTTTTCCATCTTCCATGCCATAAAAAACACATTGTGAAGTCTGATTCTGTTGTCAAGTCTGCATTTGAATTTGACTGTTTACTTTGTAGGTGTGTGTATATATATATATTTGTAGTGGTGTTGACAGTAGTGTTTAAAAAAGCAAATTTAAAAAGGCTCATGTCCTCCACCTTCTCGCACTGAAAACCACGTTGAATATCAGAGTTCTCTTCGTGCTTTCAGTAGTTTAGAACTTCCTTTAAAGATAGTTACTGTCATTGAACTTCTTGCATGATTTGAACTCGCTTCTCTGTATGTGATTTGTAACTAATAGTCACTTTAATATTGCTTATTTTGACTATTGTGTTTTAGTAGACTGTCTTGTCTTGAAGGATATAATCTAAGGACCCAGTTGTAGTGCATTGGTATAAAAAAAATTCATGACCATGGTGTGTGTCAAGGAGAGTGTAGGAGTTGGATAATTTTGTGAAGACTGGATCTTACATGAATCTGTTTGTGCAACTTTGTGGTAGCGGTGTATATAAATGTTATGTGGTTTTGAGTAGTCTCACAGGAGTAAATCTCTTGTCTTAGTTCGTAAGATCTGGAACTCTGGTTTTTTGAATCTTTAGTCGGCGAGGCTCTGGCCTGGGCAAAAGAGGAGCAGCTGAAGCTCGCCGACAGGAAAAGATGGCTGATCCTGACAACAACCAGGATGGAGTTAACTCTTCAGCTGCACGTACAGACGAGGCTCCCCAGGGTGCTGCAGGTAAGACAAAATTCCAACCGAAGCATTTTTAGTATAGTTGCTGATATAGACTACTTTGCATTTAAAAATAATTAGATGGATCATGTTCTGGAGAGAGCTACTACTTCTGGTAGATAATTTTGGAAGGTTTTTGAGTGAGAGGGACCTTTACTTTTGAATCTGATCTCTTGGATATCTGGTACATGTGTCCGTTACACTTTTTTGTAGTCTCCAAACTATGTACAATAAAGTAGACTTTAGTTTTCAGGAATCCAATTTTTTTTTTTTAAAATGTGACTTCAGCTGATGCTGCATAAATTACTCTACAGCCAACTGAAGAGACACTAAACTGTTCAGAATGCATAAGGCATGCATTTACCTGTGAAAGCTCTTTTGTAACTACTCATAAATATTCTACAAATTTTCTGTTGAAATTGCAAGTGTGTCTGTACTGGAGAAATTTGTAACCAAGTTTATTCTTACTTGCTCAGTCCTATTGAATGGTACTTAATTTTATCATCTGGTCATAATCAGCAGTGAGTTCAAAGGAGCTTTCCAGCAGTTATGGTGGATTGTAGAAAATGTCAAATGTTCCCTGCTTAAAGCTAGCTACGTCACTAAAAAAATCAAACTTAACAGAAACTTAAGTGCAGCATAACACTCATAAGAAAAGCACACATTTAAGGGTGCAGGTAAATCTATCTGAAAGGTAATTTGCTGATCTAGTTGTATTCTTCCCCCCCCCCCATTATCTTGTGTTGATATAACCTCTCTCTTCAGCTTTTGTGAAGTATTAAACCTGTAGGCTGGTTTATTTAAAATGACAATTTTACAGAAGTATGGTGGTGGCAATGTTAAATACAGAGCATTTTTCTGATGGTGGACACTTTCCTTGATGGTGGAATTGATGCGAATTTCACAGCTTTCAAGGCACTGTAACTTGCATTAATCTGTATTTCATTTCTTTAGCTTCTAGTTCCGTTGCTGGGGCTGTAGGTATGACAACCTCTGGAGAAAGTGAGTCAGATGATTCTGAGATGGGAAGACTACAAGGTATAAAGTTGTTATTAATTTACCGTTTTCTTTTGTTTGCGGCCTATAAATAGCTGTACCTATCCAGATTCTGTATTGTATGTAGTGGGAAGGCTGTATTTTGTTTCTCTGTGAATGTGTTGCTTTGCTTACAGTAGTTCTGAAATAAGGAGTTACAAGCCTTAATTTACTGAAGATGCAAGAATTTGGAAGTAATGTCTGGAGGGGATGGTATAGTGTCCTTGCACGTGTTTACATGGTGTATAATACTACTGTTGATGATTTTTCAAGAGGAGGTGGGGGGAGAGGATTGAGAACTCAGTCTTATCAAGTGTGTAAGGTCAAATATGAAAATAAGTCTTTGCAAGAATGTTATCAGTTGACAGGGCAGGTTAGGCCTAGTGTTACTCCACATGCTTCTGGATAACATTTTTTGTGCTTGTCATTGATACTCATGTTGCTGTAAGCTTTGACCAAATGAAGTCTAAATGTTCTTAAAATGCTTGCTTTTGTGCTTGGGCTAAAGGATTCAGGGGTCTCAAAACCTGAGGGTACAGACAGGTATAAACTCATAGTGTATGTCCCGCAACTGTATAATGATTTTGCCACTATGCTGCAAGGAATTCCAAGATCACGATCTCCCTTGCAAATAGCAGGTTTTGGTTAATCTGGATATTTAATGTGGAAATTAGTGCAGTGTCACTGCCAGTTCACTTGCATGTAGTCCTCAGGAAGTGTAGGTACGCATCAGGAATATTGAGCTAAACTGGTTTTTACTATTAATCATTGCTATATTGATCAGCAGTAGTCACTGTTACTACAATAAAAATGAGAATCACCCACTTAAGTCTAGCTTAAGTAACACTACTGAAGAGTGTTGAAAAACAAAACCAAAAACCCCTAATATTTAGCAGAGTTTTTACCTCTCCTACTCATCAGCAAATTAAGGTGTGAACCTTTTTTTTTCAGTGTCATTTTTTTGGATTAATAGTGTCATTCAGTTCCTGGAGATGTGAAGATAAGCTTAACCTGTTTTACATACTTCGAGTTCACATTTGAAATAAGTCTGGTATATCTGCTATTCTAGATTGAGACTTAGAACAATTTAGTGGACCAGATTTCTTCTGTGAAATATAATCCTGGAAACTCAGTGGGTGATTTCTTAAAGGGCCTTAATGCTCTGATGGTACAAAAATGAGTTATTTGTTCCCCAAAGGTCATCTTTTTGGGTTTGGTTTTGTGGTGTGGGGTTTTTTCTAGAAATCAAGGTAGCTGCAGTCATCTAATCCTAACTCTTCTTTCTTTAAAGAAGTCAAAACTCTAGTAGTCTTAAGTTATAGCATCATGGAATTTAAAAATATACATAGAAGCTTTGACAATGGCTGTTATCCTCTGTTTGCTTTTAGCTCTATTAGAGGCTAGGGGTCTTCCTCCTCACCTGTTTGGCCCTCTTGGTCCTCGGATGTCGCAGCTCTTCCACAGGACAATTGGAAGTGGAGCTAGTAAGCAAAGTTTGTCTAATTTGACTTAATTCTTTCCACTTCCAGACTAGTAGAACTCAGTCACTAGTAAATTCTAATATTTGTATTAGCTTCATAGTATAATATATTTTACATGTTGGAGATTTGTATGTCATGATAGTGCTGGACCACTAGTCAACAATATTAATTTGCTTGTCTTCCTGTAAGGAAGAGAAATCTGCTTTAGCCGTATTTCTTTTCTTTTTTGGGGCATCTTAAATGTTCCCTTCTAGGTGGGGAAGGGAGGGTTCTTGCCTTTTCACCCCTTCCTTATCATTTTGTTTTGCATGATGGGCTGCTTAAAAAAAGACCTCTCCAACCCCCTTGGGTTTTCTGCTAGCTTTAAACAAATGCTTAATCTAGCTTTAAAACTATTAGTAATGTCAGTTCTAAAGTATGTTGTTTATAGTTTCAAAAGTGTCTCAGGTTTCAGACAGAAATTATTTCCTTCAGACAATGTGTCAGTGAGAACATGGGTCCTTAGTCTTGTTCCACCCTGTCTGCATTAAGCAGCTGGATAAGATGCATACCTTCTAGTCCAAATCTGTTTGGCTTCCCAGGAGAGCCAAAGGCAGCCTGTTACAGTGCCTGCCAAGAAGAGGATGGGGTCTCATAGATACTCCATGTGCTGTATTATCCAGGGGGTATGTTGAAAAGTCCTTTGCTTTATAAAGGTGGAGTGGTGTGTGTTCTGGCACCTGCTGTAGGTTGGCAAGATGGCTATGGTGAGCAGTGTGGTGGACTCCCTGTGCTGACCAGTCTGCACTGGAAAGACAGTCAAGAGTGAGATTTTTGCCTCCCTTTCCTATCTCCCCCCTTCTTACGACAGGGAAAGGAAATGAAACTACAATACAGAGGAAAACAAACTACCTCTGGTCTTCCACTCTGGCAGAAGTGTAGCATAATAGTTCCCTTGAACACTTAGGCTTTCTAATATCTGCTTTCCTAATCTTTCTTCTGGATATCTAGGTTCTAAAGCTCAACAGCTTTTACAAGGTCTCCAAGCCACTGATGAAAGTCAGCAACTACAGGCAGTGATTGAGATGTGTCAGCTGTTGGTTATGGGAAATGAAGAAACATTAGGAGGATTTCCAGTCAAGAGTGTTGTACCAGCTTTGGTAAAGATGAAATCTCGTATTTCTATTGGAGTGGTTTATATTTCACTCAGAATCTTGTTTAAATTAAATATTCTTTATATTATATATTCTTAGTGATATATATCTGTGCATATGTATATCTACCTATCTGTATATCATTATGTGGTTTTGAGGGCATGTTTTGCTGAATTTTTGATAGTGCTATTAATTCTTTAATAGATCAAGAATAGGTAGTGGCTCCTTTGAAACTTTTACCAAAATTCAAAGTCCTGAGTCAAAAGCTACAATATGGATTTATATGTTGATATTTAGATACTTTTTACCAAACTAACAATACCTGTTTGTTTTTTAAAAAAACAGATAACACTGCTGCAGATGGAGCACAACTTTGACATTGTAAGTAATTTTTACATGGTAAGTAACCTTTTAAAATTTTTTTTGAAATACAGAAATCTATCGTCTGAACTTAAAAACAAATATCTGTATATTTAATAGATGAACCATGCATGTCGGGCCTTAACATATATGATGGAAGCACTTCCCAGATCATCTGCTGTAGTGGTAGATGCAATTCCTGTCTTCTTGGAAAAGGTAAAATGAAATCAAAACAGTTGAACTAATCTGAGGGGATTTTTTGTTTTTAACTTGAAGATATACCATTAAGATAATGGCTTCTTTTCATAGCTTACTGGGTAATACATAATGCATGAGAAGCTTTTAAAAACAGATGTACACCTCTTCACACCCTTACTGAAAAGCACTGTCTGATTCACTGAGAGCTCTGTCTGATTGGTCTTGCAAAAATACTGTGTAATTATATGAACTGCTAACTCTTGGAGTAGCTATATAGCTAATGTAACCTTAAATTGGCTAGCTTGGTTACAGCTAGCAGTGCAGCTGCATTAGCTATGTGTCTTAGTACAGGCTATCAAAGTGTTAATGAAGATTATTGTTTTTACAAACTGATTTAAGAATTGATCTACAAGCTTTCTTGTTTTCTTATAGCTGCAAGTTATTCAGTGCATTGATGTGGCAGAGCAGGCGCTTACAGCCCTGGAGATGTTATCACGCCGGCATAGTAAAGCCATTCTGCAGGCAGTAAGTAAAAAAGAAAGCACTTTTACCTCTGCCAGTTCTATGTCTTGGTGATCTTCTGTGAAGATGAAATAAGAAAACAAGTTTCTGTGATTTTACCAGTACTGAGAGTGAAAATCATTGTTTTATTATAGGGTGGGTTGGCAGACTGTTTGCTGTATCTGGAATTCTTCAGTATAAATGCACAGAGGAATGCACTAGCTATCGCTGCGAACTGCTGCCAGAGTATAACACCTGATGAGTTTCACTTTGTGGCAGACTCTTTGCCACTGCTTACACAAAGGTTAACCCATCAGGTAAGAAGCTATTATAAAATGGGAAGTTTTAAAAGTAGTATAAGGTTGCGTCCAGGTATCTAGTTCATTACTGTGTATTATTTGCGTTTGCAATGTGATAATTGCTTTAAAGTTTCTATACTGTCAAGTTGTGATATTCTAATGTGCATGTGGACCTTTTGTTTTTTGTAAATGTGCTCTAAGGATTCATGACTCCGCTATTAATTTTGTAAAAAGAAATAAATAAGGTACTTCACCTTATCATGAGTAATAGTGGGTTTGTAGTCCTTATTGCCCACCAGGAAGAGGAAATCCAGTAGTGTTACTGTCCTTTTTTTCTTAACAAATGGGTTGCAAGGTTCCCTCCCACTTCACACTCAGAAAAGCTTCAGTTTCAATTTTTGTGGACTTTTTCTGATTTGACTTTTGGGAGGGCTCAAGGGTTTTTAAAAAGAAAGTTCCTACTCTTGCATAATAGTTTGAAGTGATGAGCCCTAAATCATGGGGCTCCTAAGAAGCTGCCCATGTTTGTAAATGACCCCTCACAATGACTGTTGCAACAAAAGAAATTTCCACATACTGCTTGGTTGGCAGATCCCTGTTAAAAAGGTGAAATTATTTTGTTCCTTAACAAATGCAACTAAATGGAAGCTTCCAGGTAATGGAATTGACATGTTATTGTTTTCTACGTGCTATTCTTGATTGTGCCAACATCTTCTTGCTGAGTGACTGCTTGAATCTTTAAGGCAGCTAAATATCAGCTTTAGGTGGTGCTTTGGAAACAGGAAGCACCATTCTCAGCAGTAGTAGGGACAAGTACCACCAACTCCTGTTCTCTGAAAAGAAGCTACAGCCCCCAAAAGTAAGATTTCAAGAAATTTTGAAGTGGAATTTTTCTGGGGGAAAAAAAATAATCTTGAGTTAGCTCCTAACAGAATAGTTGAGATTGGAAAGGACCTCTCAATTAGCTAGTCCTAACATCTTGCTTCAGCCAGGTCAACTAGAGCAGATTGCCCAGGACCATGTCCAGCTGATTTTTTTAAATATCTCCAAGGATGGAGACTTAACCTCTCAATCTCTGTTCAACCACCCTTACAGTAAAAGCATTTTGTTGTGTTCAGGTGAACTTTTTTTAGTGTTTCGATTAACTTTAACTAGAGCTATTTTTAGAGCAATCTTTTTACGATCTTGGTGTCTTTGGATTTGCTGTCTTGGCTGCACTGCATGATAAAAAAATCAGGCTTTGTGTAGTTTGTAGAACTGTAGCCTTTACTCCTGCTTATAATCTCTATCTCCTGTTGCTTTGGCTTTGTAGCTCTCTGCTCTTTTGTTTCCTCCTTGTGGAATCCAAAAAGGGTGTTATAGATTATTTATTAATCTCTAAAGGTCTGTAAAGGTATTTGTGTTTCAAGTGTGAGGTGTTTCCCAGGGAGTATCCATTTAAAATTCAGAGGTGTAGTATTCTGTAAAACGTGATTCAGCTGGCCTTTTTGGAGAAATTTTATGAAGGCCTCAAAATGACAGGGTAATCTAATGCAAGTTAAAATATTTTAATTCAAAAAATACTTAACTTTTTTTATAATAGGACAAAAAGTCTGTTGAAAGCACTTGCCTCTGTTTTGCACGGCTAGTGGACAACTTCCAGCATGAGGAGGTAAGGGTGTGGTTTTTTGGGGAGCGGATTTTTGTGTCCTCCTTCCCTCCATCAGTTTCTCCCAAGGGCTTACCTTTCAAAGCAGACTAATGTTTTCAATTTTGCTGTTCTTTCCTGAAGAACTTGCTCCAGCAGGTTGCTTCCAAGGACTTGTTAACAAATATCCAGCAACTCTTGGTAGTGACGCCTCCTATCCTCAGCTCAGGAATGTTCATCATGGTGGTGCGCATGTTTTCCTTAATGTGCTCCAATTGCCCTACACTTGCAGTCCAACTTATGAAGCAAAGTGAGTTCTTAATCTTCCATATTCTGGGGAACCTGTTTAAGTTAATGCCTACAGTCAATATGGAACTCTGTGCTCTTGGTTATACAAATACTGTGTTACTTTTAGTTTTCTCTCTCTTACTATGCTTCCACTGGGATACAAAGTTTAGATAAAATTGTTGTGAAAGTTTTTATCCTAAGGGTTTCTTTCCTGAGGTTCTTTCATGTCTCTAGCTGTTGTCACTGGAGTGCTCACCTAATTTTGAGTCTGTACTAGTTGCACAAGTTACTCTCATTCCAACATAAGTTGAATAATGCTTTTTGTAGTTTTTACCAGGTGGGGGAAACAGGATTTAAGGACTCTTCCTAAGGGAAAACATAGAAGTAGAAAACTAGTTACAGAAAAGTAATTGCTGTGTAGCTGTCTGTTCTCATTCATTTTCTTCATTTCATCTCATAAATTTTGACTTGTAATTTCAGCTGCCCTATATGCTCACACCCTTTTGTTTGTGCCCTGTGTAGTGAGTGGTATTTCCCCCTTAGATGTCCCTTAAAGGAAAAAACCTGCAAACTTAAAATAACCACAAACCACAGTCCTGAGAGCAAACACATTTCTTACAACATTTAGAGATGGCTTTTGTCTTACTGTCTACTGTCTGTTTGCTTCGGGCAGTGACTATCTCTTCTGCATAGTGTCCCAACACAAAATGGAGTCCGTATTGTGATGCAGCCAATCTCATGAATAACAATTTTCATAGATATTGCAGAAACGCTTCACTTCCTCCTTTGTGGAGCCTCAAATGGGAGTTGTCAAGAACAAATTGACCTTGTTCCACGAAGTCCTCAAGAACTTTATGAGCTTACTTCTCTTATCTGGTAAGTTATGTAGCCCTAGCTTTTGGGTCTGGTTGGTATGTTAAAATCGCTAAAACTTCTCTAAAACTAAGGCAAACAGTTTCGAGCTTAGATGTACTTTATTGTATATTTCTAGTAAAATACTGTTTAATGTTCTTTACAGTGAATTGATGCCTTGCCTGCCAAAAGAGGGAATCTTTGCTGTTGATACTATGCTAAAGAAAGGAAATGCACAAAATACAGACGGTGCAATATGGCAATGGCGAGATGACAGGGGTCTCTGGCATCCCTATAACAGGATTGACAGTCGAATAATAGAGGTAGTAATTCCACATGTTTGTGTGGTGGTGTTTTTTAAATATGCTTGCAGTTGTATAGGGAATTAAGAGCTTTCTTTACAGCTTAGAAAATATCAGCTATGTTCTTACTCAAAGAAACACATGAGTTTCCTCAAATGTCCTGGTGTAATGTTGTGCTATTTTAGTATTCAGTAATGGGTGAGCTTCTTGATCACTGTTCTTAATGTATTTCTGTTAGTTACTATTTTGCCCACTGTGTTGCTTCTCTCCTCACTTTTCATATAGCTTCCTGTTTGTTAGGGATTTCTCAACTTTGAACTCTTTCTTGGTTTTAGGCAGCTCATCAGGTTGGTGAGGATGAAATAAGCCTGTCTACGCTTGGCCGTGTCTATACTATTGATTTTAACTCTATGCAGCAAATAAATGAGGATACTGGAACAGCACGTGCCATTCAGCGAAAACCAAATCCTTTAGCCAATACAAACACTAGTAAGTACACCTTAGGAGACACCTGGTGTCTCTAGCTATGGCTAAGTTATGCTGGGTTATGCAACAAGTCCGCTACTTAGCTAATACATGTCTCATGGTTCCTGTGGAACATCAAGCTATTCTGACGTACGTAAATGAAGACAGCTTTACAACAAACTGAAAATGTTGAACTGTATTCTTTTCCTGGGAACTGAAAATGTATGAAACTGTGGGGGAGCTGGGGGTGTTCCTAGCTTGGGATTTGAAAAAAGGTTTGACGTCTTGAAAGAGGAGGATTTGCACCTATGTTCTTGCTGTCAGTTTTACTTCTGGTTCTTAAATTGTATCTTTTTGATTCAAGAGCCAATACTAATTCAGCTTTAACAAAAGAAAGTAATCATTAGAGCAGAGGTGCAAGGAACTATGCATTAACTTGTTGCACAATTTGTCACAGGTGGACATTCAGAATTGAAGAAGGATGATGCTCGAGCACAACTGATGAAAGAGGACCCAGAACTGGCAAAATCCTTTATCAAAACATTGTTTGGTGTTCTTTATGAAGTATATAGTTCTTCAGCTGGACCTGCAGTTAGACACAAGTGCCTTAGAGCAATTCTTAGGATAATTTATTTTGCTGATGCTGAACTTCTGAAGGATGTGCTGAAAAACCATGCTGTTTCAAGGTGGGTTCATTAACCATTGTGAATGAAACTAATTTTGAGCTTACAACTGAAACTTGTGATTACTTTTTTGAGTCATCTTTTTCAGGGGAAAATTGTACTTCTAAAATCTTCTTTATTTCCCAAAAGCTGAGGCTGGCAGTTCTTTGGGATTTTTTTGTCTTAGATTTTGCAGTAGGTGACACCTCTAGGTGTTCTTATTAGAAACTTAGATTGCCTATATGGCCATATGTACTAGTAATGTCTAATATTACCATTACTGTTTTCCTGGTTTCTAAAACTTGCCTATAAACTTTTCTGAGGGCAAGATGGCTTTTGAGGTAATACAATGTGAACAATAACAGACTCTGATGTCATTCAGCTGGTAAGTTCTATTCATGAAACCTCTCCTACATGTTATAGCATAAACTTAGGGATCTAGGTAAAAGGATGCAATTGGAAAATAAACTGACTTTTTTCAAAGGCAGTACCAAGTTCCACAACACCATGTTCTTTAAAGGAAGAAAACTCTTTCTATTCCTTTATGCCACATGTTAAAACTTATTAAAAGTGATTTAGGTGGGAAGAGGACTTTTTCAATCCTTTTATGTATAGATTTTACAAAAGCACAATGAAATCTGTTTGCTTTAGTCTGCAGTACTATGTATGCAAGATGAACTGGCTTGATTATTTTTTAAAGCAGCAAAAAATGAAAAAACAAACCTAATTCTAATAAATTATCTGTTTTAGTCATATTGCCTCCATGCTGTCGAGTCAAGACCTTAAGATAGTAGTCGGAGCACTGCAGATGGCAGAGATTTTAATGCAAAAGTTACCTGACATTTTTAGTGTTTACTTCAGAAGAGAAGGTAAATTTTCCTTGCTTCCCCCCCCCCGCCCCCTTCTCTCTTCACCTCCTTATTTAGTATTTTAGAAGCATGTATGTGTGGAGAATCCATATCCTATACCCCCTGCTTCATTCCCCCTGCCCCTCAGCTGTAAATCTTCTTGAATAATAAAGGCAAATCCATGTAAGCTGTCTTGATATGACTAGGGAGGAGCTGACCAAGACTCTGGAGGAGACAAGCTTGTTTTTTCTGAATCTGAAATAAGTTTGTACAGGCTTACTAGATGCTAGTGAACTTACATTTAGACTGAAGATGGTTTGCTGAAATTACATGGTAGTCTTACTGGACAAAACTGATGAATCTTTGGCAGGAAGTCTTTGTTCTAATCCACTGGAGACTTTTGGTTTTCTTCAGTTACTGTTTGTGCTGCTGTCATTAGTTGTTTGGTTTTTTTAACTATGTATAGGCTAACTTTTTGAAGAAAGGATTGAATTGCTTTTAAAACTTAGTGTTGATGGATGGGGTGAGCCAATGCTGCCATAGTCAAAACAGAGTTCAAATAACAGACTTCTATCTTTTCAAACGTCTTTGTCCCTGCTGCCCCCCTCCAAACTCCCCCCCACCAAACAGATTTCTTCTTTTGCAAAGGGGTGATGCACCAAGTGAAAAACTTGGCAGAGTCTGAGGCTCTGCTAACAAGCCCACCAAAAGTATGCACTAATGGGTCAGGAACGCTGGGTACCACTACAACAATAAGTACTGGAACAGCCACTGCTGCCAGTAATGCATCTGCAGATTTGGGCTCTCCCAGCTTACAGCACAGCCGGGAGGATTCTTTGGATCTAAGCCCACAGGGGTAAGTGCACTTTTTGTTGTGAAAAAATCTGTGGGTTTTGGGTTTGGGTTGTGTTTTTTTTGAGGGGTTGTGGGGTTTTTTTGTTTGGTGTGGTGGGGTTTTTTTTAAGTCTTTACTGACATGGGCTGCTACAGTATCATCTGCATTTTGCTGTGATATTTTCCTCTAAGGAACTAAAATGGAGTGGTATTGAAGCTGTCAGTGGGTAGTTTTGATTCATTTTGTGAAATGTTAAAAAAACAAACAAACAAAAAACCCCCCCCAAAAAAAAAACAAAACCAAAAAACTAGTGACCTGATAGTTATGATGTAATGATATGAAACAATGTGCTGTTTGGGGAGAGATTGGAGAATGCCAAGAGCAACAGCTGTAGTCTTGTGTAACTCTTGTAGACAGGCTGTTTCTTTCAGAGAAGTGATAGCTATGGTGTATGATTCCTTTCTGCTGGAGACAAGAGGAAAAAAAGTTATCCTTAAGTTATTTTGTTGCAATGTAACATTTTGAATGCTTGTAGAATTAAAATCTCTTGCGGGACTAAATTGTTTTAGTGTTACACAATTTGCCTTTATTTTAAAGTTGAAATGTTTGTCTTAATGTATTGTCATAGTAAGGAATTTCATTTTAAACCAGAACTGAAATACGTGAACTTGGGAAGTGTAGGGCTTGGTGAGTAGAAACTCCATAAATTGTTGGAATAGTGTTTTGTGGGCTTTAATAGGGGAGGCAGGTCAAATATCCAGTGTCTTTTGGTGTTTATTCAGTAGAGATTTGTGGTATGGTTTTTTAAGCGTATTCAAATAAATGAGTAACTAGATGGTTACATAAATAAAAACATGAAAACTATGAGAAACTTTTATTTAGTGGCACTTTTGGCTGTATGTGTCTGCTCATAGTAGAAAGGTGATAGCAAGCAAAACTCCTTTCTGGATGGAGTAGGCACTTTGTTATTCCAATTAAAATAGAGTTCAGTCCCCTTCTGCCAAAGCTCATTATTCCCTTGTGCCTTCCTTGTTATGGGATGGAACCTTTTTTTAATTGTTGAGGAAATAGCTGGTAGATGCATTGTAAACTGATGAATGGGTATGTTTATGACTGTGGTGGGTAGAAACCTGTTTATTTTAAATTTGGACAGACGACTGAGCGATGTTCTAAAGAGAAAAAGACTGCCAAAACGAGGGCCAAGGAGACCAAAATACTCTCCTCCAAGAGATGATGACAAAGTAGACAATCAAGGTAAATAATTCTTAATGTGATACTGTCGTCTTTTAAATTTAAAAGCAAGCTTATAAGCTGTCAGAAGTACTAGCTGTAATAAACCTGTTGATTCTCTTAATTTTGTCCTTTGCTTCTTCCAGCTAAAAGCCCTACAACTACTCAATCTCCTAAGTCTTCTTTCTTGGCAAGTTTAAATCCTAAAACATGGGGAAGATTAAGCACACAGTCCAACAGTAATAACATTGAACCAGCAAGAACAGCGGGAGTAAGTGGTCTTGCAAGGGCTGCTTCCAAGGATACCATTTCCAATAACAGGTATACACACAAATCAAAATACTTGTAATGTGATGTTGACTTTGAGGTGCAGCTATTTTCTTATGATAAGCCCTCGGCTGATTAAGTAGCACCTATCGAAGAAGTTTGAGCTTAACCGCTGTTAAAATAACTGTGGAAGAAGAATCAAGAAATTAAGGTAGAGAAAACAGCCTCTTAATAGTTTTAAGTAGAATGCTGGGGGAAAATTGGAGAATTGGGAAGAATGGTGCAAGAAGTAATGTGTAGAGAATAGACCCTTTACTGTGTTGTGTAAGAGGGAAGGTTCTTTTTCCTATGACTGTTGTTAAACATGGGGAAAATGATACTCTGGCTGTGTTTACTTGTAATATTGCAGTATGCAAATGCTAAGTGTGGCTGAATGCCTTTTTTGTGCTTCTTTACAGAGAAAAAATTAAGGGCTGGATTAAGGAGCAAGCCCATAAATTTGTAGAACGTTATTTTAGCTCTGAAAACATGGATGGAAGCAATCCTGCACTAAATGTATTACAGAGACTTTGCACTGCAACTGAACAACTCAACCTCCAGGTTAAAAATGGCAAACTTACTTGGAGTAGGGGTGGGAATGGAAGCTGTAGTAGTATTTAGGAGGAAGCTAGAGGAAAGCTGACCATTAGACAATATTTTAAGCATAGTTTTTGTTATCTTAAATGATGATACAGTGTTTCTTAACTTGCAATGGTTTGTTTGGGATTTTTTTAGAATTAGTATATAAGCTCTGACCCATAATTTATGATAAATGACAAGTATTAACAAGAGTTTCTTAATTCCTGGCAAGGTGTCATTTACACAGCATTTTATTTCAAATTTTAAAACGTGACAGTTAAGTATTAGGGATTAACTTTATACGTAAAGAACACAGTTTGTAATAAGAACTTTGGGGGTGGGGGGAAGGACAAGAGGGAAGTAGCATTTTGTTGAAAGGATAGAAGAAATACAGATTAGGCCGAATCTACAGCATCTCAAGAATGAGCCTTCTCAGGCAGTTGCGATCCTTGATAAGGTGGTCTAAATCTGTAACTTCTAAAGTAGCTAAACAGATGAGTTATATTCTGTGTTTTGACCTAGGCATTCATTAAAATATGAAGCTTTCCCTTCTCCTCCTGTCTCCCACACAGATGTCATGTGAAATACATACCAACCTGAGTTTTTGGGGGTTTTTTTTTTGTTTGGTTGCTTTGTATTGTGTGGGTTTTTTTGTGGGTGTTTTTCCTTAAAAACTTCTGTTTGGAGCTCATCTTTACATTGCATGAGACAGAAAATGGGACCTTGCATTTCTCTTAAAACAGGGAAAATGTAGATGTTGCCTCTAATGTCTCCTCTTCAATAGAGAAACTGATTATCCTGAGATTATTTGCCCTGTCATTGCTTGTATTGAGTACTGTACACTCCAGTCTTTCCCTTTTTTTTCTCCCTCCCTTTAGAGCTGTTCCATGCAGTAGGAGGAAAAATAGTATTTTTTAGGCCCTTAATACCTGGGTAGTAAAATACTGCCTTCATATTTTTTAGGTGGATGGTGGAACAGAGTGCCTTGTAGAAATCCGTAGCATTGTCTCGGAGTCTGACGTCTCCTCATTTGAAATCCAGCATAGTGGATTTGTTAAGCAACTGCTGCTTTATTTGACATCTAAAAGTGAGAAAGATGCTGTAAGCAGGGATATCAGATTGAAAAGATTTCTTCATGTGTTTTTTTCTTCTCCAGTAAGTGTTCTTGTTTACTGCTTTGTCATTCTTAGTTGTCTTTCTCTCAAATTGTACTTGTCTGTCCATCTGAGAGGTTCAGCAATGACCTTGATTTAAAGATGGAGTATGGGAGGAATTTTTTGTTTGTCTAAGCTGTATAACACAACGACTTTAACATGGTTCTGTGTCTTTACAGGTCATAAACTTTTTAGAATACCCTGTAGTTATAGAAAATTCCACACAAGTGGAAAAAAAGTTCTAAAATGGCTAGTCATCTGAGTCTTGAACAACTTGAAAGTTGTTCCTGACTTTTAAGAAGCTGATATGGAAAGAGCTTGGATAGTAATCTTATCACTTGCTCTCTTTAGTCCTAAATACTGCAAGAAACTAGATCATCTGGTTTTTAAAGGAAGAAATTTAAAGTGAAAGAGGGGAAAGTAGGTAACTACAGCTTCCATGAAACATTGTTCATGGTTAAGGGTGAACGTGTAAAATCTGTAGGGCTATTCAGTTGAAATCAGCAGAGAAAAGTACGTTCTTTGAAACAGCTCTTTCATAAGCTAGTTGTGTGTCATCTGGTCATCCTGATACTGCTGGTACTTTAAGTGAGAGCAGTGATTCTGAATTTCCTTTGTGTATGGGTTTTGTGTTTTGTTTTTTTAATTAAGAAAAACCCCAACTTGTGTTATGAATTGTTTAAGATGGATTAATTCAAGTACATAACTAAGACTGGAATATATTTCAGCTTCCTGGAGAAGAACCCCTTGGAAGATTAGAGCCATTAGAAAATGCACCTTTGTTGGCATTAGTCCATAAAATGAACAATTGCCTCAGTCAGATGGAACAGTTTCCTGTCAAAGTGCATGACTTCCCTAGTGGAAATGGAACAGGGAGCAGGTAAGGATTAATGCTCAGGTAACAGTTTTGTTGGAAGCTTTTGTTTTCCAACACTTTTTTTCCAGTGCTAAAAGTTCCAAGAAGTAATGGAAACTCCTGACCCTATTAAAGAGAAAAGCAATTACACAGTTAGCTTCTTTTATTCAGTTGAAGATTGAATATTCAACTAAATGTTTGCTTACTATCTTGAAATTTCTCTTACTTAGATTGGGGGCAGATGTGCACTTTTAAATGTAATTTCTGAATTTAAGCTTTAAAAATTCAAACGTCTTCCTTGTCCCCATGAAACAAACACTGGAAAGAAATAATGTATTTGTTGTTATGACGCTGATATTTTTTAGTGAAGTAATTAAGCTGCTGAGAGTTTGTATTCCAGTGCTAGACTTTTTGTTATCCACATAGGTTCTATAGGATGATGATGGATTGAGTGATAACTGTTGACTGTCAACATAGTTTAAAATAATGGTAGACCTATCCTGTGTCATAAGATAGATGAAGTTTGGAATCCAGCTTGTTATTTGTGTGTTAAGTAACAAATTTGAGTCACTGAAGACATATTTCTGTGATTTCTTTTTGATACTTCAGTACTTTTTGATTCTTCAGTAAATCAACACTATTTTTCATTCAGTGTGTAGCAGTAGTAAGTCTATTTCAGTATAAGTTGCATATAAGTTCTGAAGGTATTTTGTGATGCTCACTAAAAGCTCAGTTTGGTTATAGTCATTCTTGTGACTATGTAGAAATTGGGAGGGGAAGAACATTGAAAATGAATTTTGGAAAACTATTCTTTAAAGAAAGTTTGAAACACCAGATTTTGAAATCTTTCAGGTAGTAAGATAGTGTGGAGGTTTTTTTGGTTACTAATTGTGACACAACATCCATTACAGTAGTTAGATTAATACTATAGTGTTAGGCTTTAATACATCTAATCTGATTAAAATTCAGCGCTTGTTTTTTGTGAAAATTAAAATCCATGGGAATAAATGCGATACACAGATTTCTAATACTTCAAGGAATTGTCTTGATACTGGCTTTTGCAAATAGTATGTGCTCTGTAATCTCACAAAGCTTCATAATATGCACTACTTCTGTAAAAAGTGGGATAACTACAAAAGTTATAAAGCTGCTAATCATAGAAGCAAAATTCTGTTTTTCTTTTTAATAGAAAATTAAACATGGGAAGTCAGACTACTGCAGCATTGTTTGACTGCTAGTTTTACTGTAGATTATGTCAATGAGGATTTTGAGGCATTAAGATTTGCTAGTCTTGCACTACCATCTGGAAATAGAAGCAGCCCGAGATATGAGGTTTGTGTATAAAAGTAGCTAGCTTAATTATTGATAGATATATAAACTATATTTGGCAAGAAAAAACACAGGAGCTTTCAGTTGTCTCCTTAGGTTCTTATTAAAAAACAAATGAATGGATACTTGAATCTTCCACCCCCAGTTCTGATCCTTATTGCACTGCAGGTAAATGCAGCTCTGAGTCTCATGTGGCATCAGCTGACCACTGAACAACTTCAGACCTCAAAGGTGGTCAGTATAGGCCATATTGTAATCAGACGTTAGACTAGACTTTCTCTTAATTTACATGGCTTCCAGTGGAAGTGAGATTTTTCTCCAACTTGGATTCTGGTGTTCCTGCAGAATAAAACTTTTAATCTGTTTATCCAAATCTTGATAACCTATTTTTAGAGAAATAGTCTGAGAAATAATACTCTAAACAAGTGAATTTGTAAACGCATGTATAAGCCTATTTTAATGTAGTTATGGTTATTAGATTCTTTGTGTAGCAACTTTTTTCACAAATTATTTTGAGTTTTTCTCTTAACAGAGGATCCCAAGCTTTAAAATTCTTCAATACACATCAGCTAAAATGCCAACTGCAAAGACATCCAGACTGTGCTAATGTGAAACAGTGGAAAGGTGGACCTGTGAAGATTGATCCTCTGGCTTTGGTACAAGCCATTGAAAGATACCTTGTAGTTAGAGGTACGTATGTATTACACAGTTGTATGTGTTTTGCTTCTTGGGGTGGTCGCTACGGTCAGTAGTGTAGAGTCTGTAAAAACCTGTGAGAATTATACTGAAGACAAATGGGATGGTACCTATAAATGTATTTTGCGTACAGGAAAGGAGACTAAGGCTACAGAGAATCCTCCCTTTTCTGGGACAAACTTCTTTCCTATTGTTAACAGATCAGTCTTAATACTAACAGAAGTATAATCTAGACTGTCACATTGGCTGTAATGCCAAGGCATTTGTGATATTGAAATTATTTCTAACATGTCTGATCCTTAATTTTTTGAACTGATGTATTTTGGACCATTTTAAACAGTGGAGTTGATAGAAGTCAAGAGTATGAAAGCATTGCTATGTTTCATGTAAAAACAAACGAGGATGTATTTCTCCTCTCTTGCCTCAGGCTATGGAAGAGTTAGAGAAGATGATGAGGATAGTGATGATGATGGGTCAGATGAAGAAATAGATGAATCTTTGGTAAGCTTTTGCTCTGAGGGTAAGGGGAGGGGAGGGAACAGTGTGGGAAGGTGCTTAAAGAAAAGCTAGCAACAAGTTTCCTAAACTGTGTGTTTTTTGTTTTGTTCAGGCTGCTCAATTCTTAAATTCAGGGAATGTAAGACATAGACTGCAATTTTACATCGGAGATCACTTGCTGCCATACAACATGACTGTGTATCAAGCTGTTAGGCAGTACAGTTTGCAAGCTGAGGAGGAGAGGGAATCTACAGATGATGAAAGCAACCCATTAGGAAGAGCTGGGATTTGGACAAAAACGCATACCATTTGGTAAGTTGGGTAGAGAAATCAAAGGACAAGTTCTCCAGTTTTCTAAATGTATATGCATAAAGAAAATTAGAATGTGGCTGGCTTTTTGTTTGTTGGATTTTTTTTTCTTTTTCCCCTCCAAAACTGAAGTTTTGAGTTTCGTGATGTACATGAGATACTTAACTCTTAGTAAAAATCTATTGTTAGCTACTGACGTTTTCTAGCCCATGAGCGAAGCTGGTGAACAAGAAATGGGGAGTCTTAAATGACACCTGCTAGATGGAGGGAAGTTGTTAGTTACCTAACAGTAAAAATCACAAACAATAGAGAATGTGTCTGCAGTCTACAAATAATGGTCAACTTCTTAGTGGATTGCTGTATGTATTCTGTGGACATACTTTGCAGGGAGCAGTATTGACTCATGACTGTGCTAAACATTCTAGCATTCAGCAGCATCTTTTTCTTTGTAATATTTAAATGATGTATTCAAAGGCAAAAAACCCAAACAAACAATCAATAAAAAAAAAAACACCCCAGAAAACAAACCACTTCATTTTTTGTGTGTGCGCCTTGTGCTGCTCTTCCAGTTCATGGAGCCAGAGGGGTCCCACTTTTTCTCCCCCGTGAATACTTTGCTTCTGAGGGCCTAGCTTCAAAGGCTGGATCTTATCCAATGCATTGTTCTCATCTTTCTGCTTTTAACTGTCATTTAAGTAAAATTCTGGTAATCAAACAACTAACACTTTTGTAACTGCTTTTGTTTCCATGTAAGGTAGTGTTTCACAAACATGTTTTTAACTTTTAATTACTTTTTAGGTACAAACCTGTGCGAGAGGATGAAGATGGTACTAAAGACTGTGTTGGTGGTAAAAGAGGAAGAGCACAAACTGCTCCCACTAAAACCTCCCCTAGAAATTCTAAAAAGCATGATGAATTGTGGCATGGTGAGTGTGTTGGCTTGCTAATATGTTAATTTGTGAAATTTCTGGAAGGATGGGGAGGAAGAGTGTTTAGAGACACCATAGTGTTTCTTTTAAAGCAAGCATAGTATAAGAAAAGCACCTATCCATGTGCGTATTAAAACTAAAAGTAAGATGCTTACTGAATTGTCTAACTAAACTAAGTGAATACTATGACTAATACTGCCTAGGCTCCTAATAATCAAATCTTGGGAAGACTTCCAGTTAATTTGTTCTGGTAACATTTTCTTTTTTCCTGCTAGATGGTGTATGCCCTTCGGTATTAAATCCTCTAGAAGTTTACCTCATATCTACTCCACCTGAAAACATAACATTTGAAGATCCCTCATTAGATGTTATTCTTCTTTTGAGAGTTTTACATGCTATCAGTCGATACTGGTATTACTTGTATGATGTGAGTAGAGCACTTGTTTTGAAACACTTTCATACTTGATACAGACAACTCTGTCCTCAAAATAGACGCCTTCCCCTGTCTGCCCCCCCCCATCAAGACAGAATAATGCAAATACTATCATCTTCCCCTTTAAGTTCAAAGAGCAACATTATTCCTGAAAAGAGAATGAGTATTGAAAATCTGCTCAGTCTTTCTTTCATGACTTGGACTCTGTATGACCAAAGTGAGAATAGAAGTGTTTTGGTTTTTGTTTTTTTTTTTCTTGTGGTAAGCAAATTAGAAGCATAGAAAAACCCTGTTAACAAAGGCATGATATTTCTTCCAGTATTTCTTTAACTAGAAGTACATTGTTTTTATTTAACACAGAATGCAATCTGCAAGGAGATAATTCCAACGTCAGAGTTTATCAACAGTAAACTGACAGCAAAAGCAAACAGGCAGCTTCAGGATCCTTTGGTAATTATGACAGGAAACATACCAACTTGGCTGACAGAACTTGGAAAAACATGGTATGAATGACTTGCTGTATAGTATTTCTAATTTGAGTTCAATAGACCTCTTGGCTAAGCAGCACAGGTGTGTCATGTTAGAAGGCTTTTGAAAGTACTGAGAGAGAGTAAAATGTAGTCACAGAAGTCTTGCTAAGTTACAGTGACACTTAGCTGAACATTTATGCCTATATTGCATAGTTTAAACCAAATAGGGAGGGATAGACTAGCTGCAAAGTTTGGACCACTTCTTAGATGAGTTCCTGAGCAATTTGAAGTTTTCTCATTTAAATAATAGTACTTGATTATTCAGGTCACTTTTTCTCCTGTTAAACTGCTTAATAGCATTTTTGTCATACCACATTTGTCTTAACATATTCAGTGTGGTACAAAGAAAAGATTTTTATCGTTACTGATAAAATATTATAGATAATTTTTATAAAGCTATATCCATAGTACTTTGTAGTATCTTGATAGAGAGCGTAAGCTGTAAAACTGTTTAGAAAATGGGGAATCAGGCTTGGCATTCTTGGATTTTTCAGGCATGTTAATTGAAGGAACGTTGGTGACAATTGTCTGGAAACATGTACTCTAGAAAAACTATTTGGTTTTTCATTTTTCAAATAATATATCTAAATTTCTTCATAAACATTCCGCATAACAAATGATGAGTGTTTATATATTCTTATGCAAACATCTGTAGCAGTATTTGTTCTGTAAAACTGCTTTTTCATGTAAATGTCAGTGGAGGACTACACTGTTAATGTACACATGCCTTTGAGAATAGTAGAACTGATAAATTAAACAAAGAAGTTTCTCAGGTAGTCTTTCATTTATGAATGATAGACGATTTCAAGTGTTTTTTGAAAGTGGTGGAAGGTAGGATGCTGGTGTTGCTGTAGGCAGGTTCCTTTTTCTATTTCGTCCCAAATAGGGGAGCTTGAGCCACCTTCTTAAAATCTTTGATCTAAGTGAGGTTTACTAAATGCAAAACAGGTGTGAATAAGTAAAAAAAAATAATACTTATTTTTCTGATATAAACTTTCCATAACCGAGGCATTGAAGTACTTTGATTTATATTTCTGTAGAAGTTAGAAGTTTCTGGAATTTCTTATGGTTACTTCTTAAATTAAATTCAGTCTCTAGATTCTTGCTTAGAAGCGTTGTAACTAAAACTGAAGTGTGTTCTGGAAGGCTTACTTTAGAGGCTGCTTTCACCACAGTGGTTAATAAAGCACTAATTTCAGGCATACTACGTTTCTGTGGCGTTTTAAACTAAACTTAGTCGTAGGTGCTAGTTGGAATCCAGCTAACTAATCCAATGCTCTTTGCAGCCCGTTTTTCTTTCCATTTGATACCCGTCAAATGCTGTTTTATGTAACTGCTTTTGATCGTGATCGAGCCATGCAAAGACTACTGGATACTAATCCAGAAATCAATCAGTCAGATTCCCAGGATAGCAGAGTGGCACCGCGACTGGACAGGAAAAAAGTAGGTATATCTTGTTTAAAAATGGAATGAGTTATCTGTTTATTTTTATATTGTTTTTAATAATATAATTGTGAGCAAGATTTATTTGTGAAACTTCCGATTTTGATAGTATACCAATGAAGCAGACAGATGTTTGTCTCTATTAATTTAAAAGCCCCCGAGTAGAAAGCACAAGGTCTTCTAGGCGTGTGCCGCTAGGTGGCAGAAAGGGCTAGAGTATGCTACACTGCTTTCTCAGAGCCTGCGTAATTCTGGAGTCTTAACATAGTTTCTGAAACTATACTCCAAGAATGAACTTTAAGTTTTAGGTTACATTAGTGATATTTCCATATTTTAGCTTGTAAACCTCTCTTGCTTTATGTAGATTTTCAGAATAATTGAAGCAATAGGATTTAGACCCTTGTTAACTGAATAAACAAAAACATTGTCCTTGTATTCTCGGAGAGTATTAAAGTCCTGTCACGACATAATTAAAACTAAGTTGTTTTTTAAATTGAGGGAGTCTTGGGTGTCTCCCTTGAGTCTGGAGAGATGTTATCTTAAAACAAGATCTGCTGTACAGTGTAGATTTGCTGAATGGGCTTGAATACCTCTGGGGGAAGAAAGATAAGAGACATGAGAATCTAGTTCAACTAGAATATAGCTTCAAACGTAGGAATCCTAGTGCTGTTGTAGGTTGTTTTTTTTCTGTCTGTGGGTTTTGGTGATGTGTTGTGGGGGGGTGTGCGTGTGTTGTTGTGTGGGGGTTTTTTTGGTGTTTTTTTTTCTTGTTGGATATTTGCTTCATTTTTTTGAAACCTGCCACGTTCCCTACTAGAGAATCTGCAAGGGCAGGGTATAAGAGTATTCCTTTAGGTTGCTGGATTTTGGCATCTTTATTCTGTGTTTTCTTCTCCACGTATTAGTTTGAGGTATGTAACATCATGTGACAACACTTCTCTGCTATGTTGTAGTCCTACTGCCAGATTCTTGTCAAGAGTAGTACCTATTAGTTACTGATACAAATGTAAGATTTTTTTTTCATTTTATATTGAACACTTTTAATTCTAGTTAGTTTTCATATAAAAGCAAGAATTACTTTATCAAAGTATAAGCTTACAAGTTGTTGAACTGTGAAACTATTAGCATGGGGTGGAAAAACTTGCATAACTATTTTTTTTTCCTGTTGTAACTACCTTGGGACCTGGGACTTACAGACATAATTTCACTACTTAAAACTTCTCTAATATGTAGCGCACTGTGAACAGAGATGAGCTGTTGAAACAGGCAGAATCTGTGATGCAGGATCTAGGCAGTTCAAGAGCCATGTTGGAAATCCAGTATGAAAATGAAGTAAGTAATACCAATGCAGACTAATTTAACCGCTTTTTACTGAAGATTAATACAAGAAAGCTACAACTTTTCTAGAATGACTTGGTTAGACTCCTGTTCCTTCCCATTGCTGGTGCCACAAAATCTTGTCAATTAGTTATCCCTAATTCACTTGGGTGTGATCTTTAGTTGCTAGGAAAAAATCTTCCTGATCTACTAAATTTCATAATCAGTCTTATTCTGCAGAGCACGATTTTTTTTTTCTAATTGTAAGCAAACAGCTTTGCATGTTTTCTCTATAGTATGACCATTAGGTGGTTAATTCCTCTGTTCTGTTATTCCCTCTGCTATATGGTCTTTCCAAGCTCTCTGTCATACTGTGAATGTTGGCAGTTAGGTTCTTCAGATGCTTTTTGCAATGCAGTCGTCTTTATAACCAGTAATGTACTATATTTCTCAGACTAAGTAAAGATTTTGATATTTGAACTGACCTAATGGACTTGTTTGTTTATCCCATTTTCCCCCTCCTCTCCCCATACCCTCCCTCCCCCCTGAAGGTTGGCACAGGCCTAGGCCCCACACTAGAGTTCTATGCACTTGTATCTCAGGAACTACAGAGAGCAGACTTAGGCCTTTGGAGGGGAGAAGAAGTGACTTTAGCCAATCCAAAAGGTAAATATTTTACTGCCTAAACTGTCAATATTGGTCTATTATTGAATTGATTCTAAGTTGACTTTAATTATGTGATTAGCTTTGAAAGAGCACCTTGGTTTGTGGTCAGATAATAATGCTTCATAAGATAGTGTGTGATTATCTTGGTGGGTTTTTTAATTTTATAAGGAGCTTTAGGTTATGGTGATGTGATAATTGCCTTCAAACTTGCATCTGGAATGAAACTAGCAGTATTGAACGTTTTTTTTTTTTCTTTCTTCCTCAACAGGAAGCCAGGAAGGTACCAAGTACATCCATAACCTTCAGGGCCTTTTTGCACTTCCTTTTGGTAGAACAGCCAAGCCAGCTCACATTGCAAAAGTTAAAATGAAGTTCCGCTTTCTGGGAAAACTAATGGCCAAGGCAATAATGGATTTTAGACTGGTGAGAATAAAATGGAAAACATTATTTTGAAAGGTTAAATGAAAATTCAAGTTCTGACTATGTTGGGGGAGGAAAAAAAAGCATTGAGTTGCACAGAATTATTTTCAGCGCTGGCAGGTGGTGGGGGGGGTTTGAGAAAGAAGCAGCTGAACTTCTGAGGGGGGAAAGGGTAGTGTATGTTGAAGACCTTTGCAGTGGCTTTTGAGACCATAGTGAGAAAAGGAAAAGCCATTGCCTGCCATGTATTGCAATCTCTCTCCAGTCTTCTTTCAAGATAGTTTTGGGCTTATTTATTGTTGCAGCTGCTGGATTAGTGATTGGTCTAATGTATATGCACTAGGCAGTCAGTGATGTTTTCTCGACTGAAAATTTCTCAGGTAAAAATACACAAACACAGTGTTGAACTATGAATTAGTAAATAGTATTCTAGACCTAGTCAAGAGATAAAATAGCAAAATATACAGTTTTGGAAGACAGTTTAATGCTAAAGAGCATTTCAATTTTCAGGTGGACCTTCCTCTTGGACTTCCTTTTTATAAATGGATGCTACGACAGGAAACTTCCTTGACATCGCATGACTTGTTCAGTATAGATCCAGTAGTAGCCAAATCAATATATCACCTTGAAGATATTGTAAGACAAAAGAAAAGACTTGAACAGGACAAAACACAGGTGGGAAAGTAACCCTAAGAATGGAAGAGTGCGTCTTCACACATGTTTGGATTTTATGAAGCAGCCGTAATTGAGAGTGTATGGTAGTGCTTAATACTGATGGTAATAGTGATAATGACTTCATTCTAATAAAAGGAGTAGTTTACTAAATCGGTAGCTAATAATTATAACACGGTCTTTTTGTAATGTAGACTCTAACACTAGAAATTTATGAGATTCTTCTGTGTGATTAAACATAGGCTAGAAATGGCTAAAGCTGCCATATGTTTGCCTAAGGTAGCTTCTCGTTGTGGTTCACTTTGAAAAGACTAACCAAATTTACTATCAGCGGAAAAAAATCTGTCCTTGGTTTCTGAATGTTCGAAAGGCTTGGCTTTTTTGTTGGTTGGTTTAGTCAAATTTTCAGGTTTTCCTAGATGTGCCTTTTGTTGGTTTTTTCCTTCCCTGCTGAAGAGCTGTATGCAGAACTGATGTAAACTGGCTTCATATGTGAGCATACCAGTTCTCTTATAGATTCAGAAGAGTCCTTTAATTTTTTAAGGTTATCCACCTTAGTGGTAATAGTACCATTCGCTGTTGCAGAGTAGTGATAAAAGGCCTTTGGCATGCATGCTCTTTCTAGCATCCAATGTTAATAGATGGTAGGTGGTAATCTAATTTCTACTTTTAATACATCTGCTTTGTTACTAGTGAAGTTATTGCAAGCTTGTGGGCCTTTGTTCCTCTTCACCTCACTGTCTTACTCTATCTGCTTGATCACCGCTTTTAATTTCCCAACAAGAGTTTGAAAAACCTGAAACCTGGTGGATGAAAGCTGAAAAATGTCAGTATGCATGCCAAATATGAATGCCATTAAGTAGTCTAAGGAAAAAACATAGCCTAAAGCCTTAGCGTGTTACAATCTCCTTCTCTTGCAGTAGTATTTTCTAAGTAAATAATATGCAAGAAGTTAAAGTAAATCCAAAATTGCTAGAGAAAAGTGTACTGTTATGATCTCTCAAGTTTATCCATTAAGATAGTTTATTTGGCTTGCTTTGGTTACTGTTATCTATGAAAAATACAGAAGGAAACCAAGGAGTACTGTAACAGTATTAATAGTTAATAGTAATATTCTTATAGAAATGTTCACTTAGTCAAAACTGCTTTAAAAATCATAACTTTCGGAGAAGTTGATGTGAATTAATTGTTCTCACTGGTTTTCACTTCCAATTTTTTAGACCAAAGAAAGTCTACAGTATGCGTTGGAGGCTCTGACTATGAATGGCTGCTCAGTGGAAGATCTAGGGCTGGACTTCACACTTCCTGGGTTTCCTAATATAGAACTGAAAAAAGGGGGAAAAGATACACCAGTCACCATCCACAATCTAGAGGAGTATCTCAGAGTACGTAAAAGCAAAGCTAGGACTAAAATCTTCTTTATTCTTCCTCACCTTGTCCCAAGAAGTTGTTTCCATGCATATTTCAGTTAATTCCTGTGAACTAGGCACAGCAATAGTTTTCCTACTGAATGCTTCTATACTGGTAAATTCCAACAGAAAAACTGTTTGAATCCTAGTCAGTGCACCTGACTTCAAAATTTTAGAGTGCAAAAAAGTCTGGTTTGTACATAATGAAGTCATCAAAAGAATGGTTTTGGATAAAAAGTGTTGTAATAAGTGGAGTAATTTGAGCTGTGGGCTTTCAGAATCTTTTGACAAGTTCCCACATCTGGGTGTGATAATGAATTTGTTTGCACTAGTGATTTAGCACCTGCTACCCACACTTCAGTGGGCTATAATAATAGTGAAATTTTTTGGAGTCAGACTTACGAAAACATCAGCTCAGTTGCAAGTCAAAATTAGAGCAGTACTGTTTCTTAAAAAAACCAACCAAACAAAAAAACAACACAAAAACCACACAAACAAAAAACTCCACCAAACTGTTAAAAAAATGGATAAGGAATATGTAACAAAACAGTGCTATAAGTTGACAGTACACCTGTGTGTTGATTTATTCCTATGTCAGAAGGGACATGAAACCTAGAAAAACAAAAGGGTGATACTGCTGAACAAAGGTGGGAAACGGTTTCTGCATAAGTGTTAAAGGGAATAGGTTAAAAACAGCCTGGAAAAGAGATGAGGAAAGGCAGGAAGAATGCAGTATTGTCACATGAAGCCATAAATGGGATGGAGGTAAGAATGATTGCGTGACAAAAAAGCCATTATTCGAATTCCTAAGTAATGCATTTCCTGACAGGTTAGTCTGCTGCCAATTTCACTGTAAAGACTGTTAAGATTATCAAACATTGATAAGAAACGTATCTGATGTTTTGGTAGAAATGATACAGCAAGGGGCATATAAGCTCCTGGATATCAACTGAGAACTTTGCAAAATTGTTCCGTAATCCTTATGACTGATAACTGAGCAGCAGTTGCTGTTAATCTTCCAGATTCAAGCTGTTACTCATATATCCAGTTTTCATATCTCTATTTGTTGAAATCAAATTCTGTTAGTTAAGAATCATTTGTAAAATAAAAATATTTGGTTATAAAGCTGTTTGCACAGTTACAGATGGGCAATGTGAACAACTATAGTTTGTTAGGAATAGCATTTGCAGTCTGCTTGCTGAGCAAAGCTGAGCAAGCTTGCTTTCAAGTCTGATTTTTGTACAGTTTACAGTCACTTTTTTTTCAGCGTAACACATATCGGGTATCTGATATGCTGAGAAAGGCTTGCAGACGTCTCTGATGTCCTGTAGTTGTCCTATTGCTGGCCTCTGGCATTGTAAAGGAAAAGCAGATCAGTACAGAAAGCTTGCTGTCCACTTCTTTTTCTAAACAACTTTAGAAAGGACTATTTTCTTTAAAGGAGACCTGTGCAGTTTTTCTACCCTTGTCTTTATATTCCTGCCTTATAGAGGAGACTTTAGACGAGGTCCCAGTGATTAGCATTACAGACTTAATTGTCAGTCATAGAATCACAGAATGGTTTGGGTTGGAAGATAAAAGATCATCTTAGTTAGATAGATTAAAGATAATCTAGTTCCAGCTCCCCTGTTTTAGTGTCTCACCACCCTCACAGTAAAGAACTTTTTTCTAACATTTAATCTAAATCAGTTACCCTCCTCCTATCATCACACTCCCCACCTTTTCTTTAGGCCCCCTTTAAGTACTGGAAGGCTGCTATAAGGTCTCCCCAGAGCCATCTCTTCTTCAGGCTGAACAACCCCAACTCTCAGCCTGTCCTCACAGGGTGGGTGCTCCAGTCCCCTGATCATCTTTGTGGTCCTCCTCTAGGCTTGCTCCAACAGGTCCATGTCTTATGTTTGGAGCCCCAGCGCTGAACACAGCACTGCAGGTGGGGTCTCACCAGAGCAAAGTAGAGGAGGAGAATCACCTCCCTTGCCCTGCTGGCCACACTGCTCTTGATGCAGCCCAAGATGAGATTGGCTTTCTGGGCTGTGAGTGCACATTGCTGGCTCATATTCAGGTTTGCATCCACCAGAACCCCCAAGTTCTTCTCCCCAGGACTGCTCTTGATGCACTCATCGCCCAGCCTGTGTCTGTGCTTGGGATTGCCCCGACCCATGTGCAGGACCTTGCACTTGGCCCTGTTGAACTTCATGAGGTTTTGCACAGGGCCACCTCTCAAGACTGTCAAGGTGTCCATCTGGATGGGATCCCTTCTCTCCAGAGTGTTGACATCACAATGCAGCTTGGTGTCATCAGCAAACTTGCTGAGGGTGCACTTGATCCCACTGTCTGTGTCACTGACAAAGGTGTTAAACAGCACTGGTCCCAATGCCAGCCTCTGAGGAACACCACTCATCACTGGTCTCCACTTGGATGTTGAGCCAGTGACCGTGACTCTCTGAGTGCGACCATCCAGCCAACTTTTTATCCACCAAGTGGTCCATCTGTCAAACCCATGTCTCTCCAATTTAGAGACAAGTATGTCATGAGGGACAGTGTCAAATGCTTTGCACAAGTCCAGGTAGATGATGTCAGTTGCTCTTGCCTTATCCACCTGTGCTGTAGCCCCATCGTAGAAGGCCACCAGATTTGTCAGGCACAATTTGCCCTTAGTGAAGCCATGTTGGCTGTCACCAACCACCTCCTTGTTTTCCATATGCTCTAGCATAGCTTCCAGGGGGATCTGCTCCATGATCTTGCCAACAACAGAGGTGAGACTGACTGGCCTGTAGTTCCCCAGGTCTTCCTTTTTTCCCTTTTTTAAAAATGGGGGTTGTTTCCCCTTTTCCAGTCATCTGGCACTTCACTGGACTGCCATGACTTCTCAAATATGATGGACAGTGACTTATCAACTTCATCTGCCAGTTCCCTCAGGACCCATGGATGCATTTCATTAGGTGCCATGGACCTGTGCATCTTCAGATTCCCTAGATGGTTTCAAACCTGATCTGCTATGGTGGGTAGTTCTTCATTCTCCTAGTCCCTGCCTTTGCCTTCTCCAACTCGAGTGATGTGGCTGGAGCCATTGCCATTGAAGACTGAGACAAAGAAGTTGAGTACCTCAGCCTTCTCCATATCCCCAGTAACCAGGTCTCATGTTTCCTTTCTGGAGAGGGCTCCTAATCCTCCTTCTATCACTGATATACTGCAAGAAATTTTTCTTGCTGGCCTTGATGTCCATGGCCAAGGCTTTGGCTTTCCTAACCTGATCCCTGCTGCTCGGACAACTTCTCTTTATTCCTCCCAGGCTACCTGTCCTTGCTTCCACACCCTGTAGGCTTCCTTTTTGTGTATAGTTTGTCTAGGAGCTCCTTGTTCATTCCTGGTTTCTTTGCCTGACTTCCTCTCCGTTGGGATGTATCACTTCTGAGGTTGGAGGAGGTGATCCTTGAACATTAATGAGTTTTCGTGGGCTCCTCTTCCCTCCAGGGCTGTATCCTAAGGTACCCTACCAAGCAGTTCCCTGAAGAGGCCAAAGCCTCTTCTCTTGAAGTCCAGGGTAGCGAGCTTGCTGTGTGCCCTCTTCACTGCCCTAAGGGTCTTGAACTCCACCATTTCATGGGCACTGCAACCAAGGCTGCCCTTGAGCTTCACATTCCCCACCAGCCCCTCCTTGTTGGTGAGAACAAGGTCCAGCACAGCACCTCTCATTGTTGGCTCCTCTGTTACTTGCAGAAGGAAGTTATCATCAATGCATTCCAGGAACCTCCTGGATTGCTTATGATTGGCTGTGTTGTGCCTCCAACAGATACCTTAGTTGTTGAAGTCCCCCATGAGGACCAGGGCTTGTGAACGTGAGGCTGCCTGTCTCAATAGAGGGCCTAATCCGCTCGGTCTTCCTGGTCAGGTGGCCTGTAGCAGACCCCTGCTATTATGTCATCTGTTGCTGCCCTCCCTTTAATCCTGATCCATAAGCTCTTGGTCAGCTCCTCATCCATCCCCAGGCAGGGTTCCACGCACTCAAGCTGGTCATTGACATAGAGGGCGACAACCCCTTGTCTCCCCTGCCTGTCCTTCCTACAGAGCTGTACCCTTCCATTCCAACCCTCCTGTCATAGGAGCCCCATCCTACTGTGTCTCTGTGATGCCAATAAGATCATAGCCCTGCAGGTGTGCGCAGGTCTCTACTCCTCTTGTTTGTTCCCCGTGCTATATGCATTTGTATAGAGGCATTTAAGTTGGGCCCCTGATGAAGCTGACTCACTGGCTGGGATTCCTCTGTGCTGCTTTTGCTGCTCTCCTGCTGACCTGTGGTCCCTCTCCAGGCTCTGGGCATCTATTGCTGATGTTGGTATCAAACTTGTAGGACAGGGATGGCTTGAGGTTCCCCTCCCCCATCAAGGAAACAGAAAAGATTTCGGAGAGAAAATTACCGTTCTCTGTATTGCAAGTATGATGAATTGCAATGTGGGAGGAGTATGTTTAGTTTATCAGCTAGCATGTACAGCTCCCTGTGAGTCAGCTGCCCTGCTCTTGATAATGTCATTTTCATTAAAATTTTGTGTGTAACTTACCATAAAAGTAGTTTATGAAGCTAAATATCCTACTGTTAATGCTTCATACCTCTCCTGCAGTCATGCACCCTCCACCTCCCTTCCCCCCCCAAGGATGATTTCCACAAGAGCTACCTTTATCAGAAAGTAGAACTGTTTCAGCTACCAGTATAGTGAAAGACTTTATTCTCTCTCTTTTTTTCTCCCCCCTTCCCCTCTCCCCTGTACTGTAAAGAGGCCAATTTGCTTGTTCTAAGTTTGTGGACAGAAAGTTTTCCAGAGTGCTGTTTTTTTTGCCTAGCAATTTGATCTCCTCTGAATCCACAAGAATACAGTGCAGCTTAAATTTGCCACACACTCCTGGTCATAAAAAGTAATCAAAATTCTAAGTAAGCAACTCTGCTGCTAGAGTAGCCATAGAATATTCTGTGTTATAGTCCACAGTAGAACAGGCTTCTGTGCTGCTGGTGCTTACTAGCTTCCTCTTCAGTGTGAAAGTAGGGGTATGTATCTTACTTGAAATTCAGTGCCTGACTTCTGTAGGAAAGCTTATCAACAGATCCTAATATGCTTTCATAGCTGAGAGCTTTCTGAAACAAGTAACTCTTCAGTTATTGGGACAGGGTTAAACACTTGCTTCAGGAGTCCAGCCGTATCAATGGGGTTTTTAATAATATTCAGATGCATCCTTAAATGTCTTTCAAGCTTTTCTCAGCATTCCAGGTCAGAGCTTTTAACACGTTTAAAAACAAGTAGCTGTGTGTTGACAACACATCTTTTACAACCAGCCTTCATTTCCTGCTACAGTTGAGTGTATCCAAGGCAAGTGTAATCATCAGTAGCACTAACTGACAAAAGAATCTGAACTTGGCATGCAATGTGCTATGTATAATATATTTCTTAATTTAGTAGAGAAATACTGGCTGCAGAACACTGAAGAGATTTGGTCTTGTTTGTGTCATGTTCTCTTCCTTCCCCACAGTGATTATTCGTTCAGTATGTGCTGTCCACTTTGGAAGGTGAATTTAGTCCTGAGGGGATAGCTGTAGATACAAACACCTCGCCCCCCCTCCAAAAAAAGCCTAGAGTACTGTCTTTTGCCTTATGATTCTTAACCAAATCCCAGCAATAAGAAATTAAGTTATTTCTTTTTTTCCCATGTATTCTTACAATATTAAGCTACCTAATATAGGAGAAAGACTGAAATTACTCTTTGTTGCTGTGTGTTGGCAAATGATCCATAGGTTTCCATGGGGTAAACTAATATAATAGTGCAAATGATGCCCTAAGGATTTCTGTTTTGGTTGCTGAATTTTAAATGGATTTCAGTGTACAGAGAGAACATCTGGTTAGGTTTCTAAAAGTGATATAATAAATGGTTAGATATGTTTTAAAACTTTATTAAATAGGTTCAGTTAACTAGCTGTTCTGAATTCCATATATTATTTTTGATAAAACAACATTAGAGGCAAATAAGTTGTTCAAATTCTGCATGAGTTACATGCTTAGGGTATTCTAAATATGGGGTTGTTTCAACTTCAGAGGACTTTTGCTAATTTGCAGTGACAGACCACGTGTGAAAGTCTTAAAGAAAAAACCCCAACAAATTCTGTTTCTGTTGCATTGCAGCAGCACTGCACTTGCAGACATGCAGCAATATGAGCTTATAAATTCAGGCAGAAAGAGGCAATGCTGTAGAGCAACTCCTTGAATCAAAGTTCAAATTTTGCCACAACTACAGTGAGCATACGGCTGCACTTCTGTAGAGCTTTTTTTTTTTCTGGAGCTGCAGTCTTTTGTACAGTAGTGGTCATTCCATGCTTTCTTAGTTCGAATTACTTTTTCCTTTTTTTTTCCTTTGTTCCTTCCCTGCAGTTGGTTATATTCTGGGCACTAAATGAAGGTGTTGCCAGACAGTTTGACTCATTCAGAGATGGATTTGAATCAGTCTTCCCCCTCAGTCATCTTCAGTACTTCTATCCTGAGGAGGTTGGTAAATGTGTTTTTTGCTGATGCTTTTGTAACCTTATATCTATATGTATGGACAGTCTGAACCTAGAGGTGCACTGGATGCAGTGCATTTGTGACAGTCTGATTACACCACGTTTCTGATGCATGTTAGTAAAACTTGGTGTCCTTTAAATTGCATGCTTAAATGCTAAGGATTTCTATGTTCGGTGGTCATTTATGTGATGCTTTTATTATGAAGAGCTGTTTTGTTTTGTTTAAATTGAGTCTGTCCAGCTTTTCTGAGAAAAGCACTTAAATTTGTATATGCAAGCTGTCGGCATTGGTATGGATACTTCAATTAATTCCTTGTATTGCAGTACATCTTGATAGCTATAGATAAGAGATGTGGATGCTACCTGGATGTTCTATAAAAAAATATTCAGCTGTTTAGCAAAGCTTTAAATAGTAAGAGGAGGTTCAGGTGAAGGGGTTAAAGAATAAGGATAGCTGGTCTTGCCTTGTTCTTGCCACTCAGCATATCAATTTCCTTGTAAAATTCTTACGCTCTGAAGTGAACTGAATTAAAAGACAATTATGGTTGTCTGGACTAGGAGAGAATGTTTTATTACTCTGCCTTTATGGAGTTTATTTGAAGACTGTGCTTCGGAGGGTTTTTTTACCTTCATAAACTTACTCCTTTGACTTCATGAAGAAATGTTAAGCATGCTCTGAAGCAGCATGTTAGCCAAGCCTTTGTGTTACTCTCTAGTTCTTGGTGCTTTGCAGTGTAAGAGTCTCTTAAAGCTGAGATCTGTAACTGTTCCTAGTGATTTGTCTTCATGCCTCTCTTGGTATTACTTTCAGAGTACCAACACCTCCTTTTTCTGCAGCAAATTTAAGGCTAGTAAAAAGAGTAGATTATTCTACTTTCTCCAGTGTTTTGCCTAAACTTTTCTGTTTTGTGGTATATGTGATGCTGCTGTTCTGCCTTGTCATCGTTTGGCAAGATTTGATGCTTGCTTCTGCTTGGAAATTCTGAAATATGGGCACTAATCTACTAATACGGTTGATCAAAATTAAGCCATAGGAGTAGTGTGAGATAAGATATCTTTTGCGTGATAGAATATATGTGTATGATCTTGTGTTCTGTTGCTGATAGCTATCCAGCCACGGGAATCTTTTCACAAACCATTCCAAAACTATTATAAATAACTTGTAAAATGCTTTTGTTCCATGAACAGAACAGCTAAGTGTGTCAGACGTCTGGTTTTATTGAGATTGGGGCTTTACAGCTACTCACGTATGCTAGAAAGACATCCGTAGAAGCTTTTAGTGTTTTGGCTATAGCCTGTCATCTCCACTTCCCCAAGTGCACAGAAAGAACAGGCGAAATACTTTTAAGTACAAAACTGCTGTCTGACAGATCCATCTCTTATCTAATGATACTTTTCTTTTTCTTTGAGAAGAGCTCAGGGTTCTAAACAGCAAGTGTAAAAACACTATATTCTTCCCATTCCCCTAGATTGCTTTAAAAATTGTGGCATTTCCGAAACCTTAAGGCATTTTTGCTTCTCTAGTAGAAATTCCTTATTAGGACTGTCTTTGTTCTAAGAGATACCTTCAGCATCTCATGTGGATTGTATGCAAAGACAGATTCAGCAAATGAGGCTGTCACTGGGATGAAGTATTGGGAGATTTTTTGGGAGGCTTGCTTGGGGTGACTGAGGTTGTTTTGCAGCAAGCCATTCCAGAAAGTAGAATGCTGTAGTAGTAGTCAGAACAGGCAGTACTCATTCTGTTTCAATTTCTAAAGGGGAAAACTTACTTCCTTGGTTTTTTTAATTTTATAGTTGGAGCAGCTCTTGTGTGGCAGTAAAACAGACACTTGGGATGCAAAGACTTTAATGGAATGTTGCAGGCCAGATCATGGTTATACACATGACAGGTAATATGGTGTTGGTCTTGTTAAAAAATAAATAGTAGCACTAGAAAAATACATACGTAAATAATCTTGATATACCGTTTTTCAAGCTAAAGAAATTATGACATTTATTTGAAAATATTCATACTGCACTGACTGTGAATCTGATGTAATTATTTTAACTATAAACAAAATAATAATAGCTTACTTTTTTCCTCTCCTTAGTCGAGCAGTGAAGTATTTGTTTGAAATTCTCAGTAGCTTTGATAGTGAGCAGCAAAGACTGTTTCTTCAGTTTGTGACAGGTAGCCCCAGACTGCCTGTAGGAGGTAAGTTTTGTTTATTACATACTGCTACATATGAAATCAGTATTATCAGTCCATTTCAGAATAGGTGGATTATTTCAGTACAGGAAAAAATTACTTAACTATGTATTTTAGAGGTTCATACTTGTTTGATATTTCTAGTTTCAGAAGTGACTGAGTAGACTTCAGGTAGAATTCTCGTAAACTTTGTGTTAGTCTCATGACACTTCATTCAATTGACTCTCTTTAGGTTTAAATTATCTTAGCAGATAACCTGTCAGAGGGCAAAAAATAGTCTAAAATTTAAATAAAACTGGAAACCTTTAGTACTGTATTCCTTGGCTAGAGATGCATTAAGTTACGACAACAACAAAATGAGGCATTGCTACTTGGAAACAATCTCGTCTAGAAAGGAGACAATACGGGCCTAGTGATAAACTTTTAATTTCTCCCCGTCTTTAATTTCCGAATTTAGATGAGAAGCAGTGAGGAATACTGAGGCATTGGCTGTCTTTGCTAGGGACCATTATAGAATAAACATTTTACTGTATTCTCAGCTGAATACTCTGCAAGAAAAAACAGAATTTATGCATCTGTTCCATTACTTACATTTTTTGGAGTTTGGGGGGAAAAGAGTTAATTTTTAAAAAAAACCTTTTTTAGAGGTTATTTTGGGGAGGGGTGATGCAGACAGAACTGAGCGTTAGGAGTATAAAAGGAATATAAAAACCTTAGCTGGAGTATAAAAATAAGGTACCGCAGTCATAGATAACTTCTGAGAATTTTAGAAAGTGTATGGGACCAACGAACTCTTAGAAATGTTATGATTGGAATAGGCTTGGTACCTATACAGAAGACAGAATTAAAAGTAGAAGCATCTAGCTTATGTCTTTTAAATCGTCCTGGAAAACTAGTCTATAGACAAGATTTTAGGTATTTTTTTAGCTTGCTGCATGGCCTTATAAAGCAATATTCTAAACTTAAAAATGGAGATTAAGTCAATTGAGATGCATGCTTCTGTCACTGTTAGCTGTCTACAGTGTTAACTGTAGGTTTTCAAGGGGAACAACCTCATTCTGAATGTCTTTTCTCATTAACAGGCTTTCGAAGTTTGAATCCTCCATTGACAATTGTACGCAAGACGTTTGAGTCTACAGAGAATCCAGATGATTTCTTACCCTCAGTAATGACTTGTGTGAACTATCTCAAATTGCCGGACTATTCAACTATTGAGATAATGCGTGAAAAACTCTTGATAGCTGCAAGAGAAGGGCAGCAGTCATTCCATCTTTCCTGATCACAATGAAAAATGCAATGTCTGCCTGTTACAGCAAAAGAGAAACTCATGATTCTTTTCTAAATATATCACCTGAGTCAAGGAAACGTGTTACGCCTTCTTGTTGTAGAAAAACGGCTTGCAGATTATAAGCAAAGACACTTGGTTGATATTCATTAAAGGCCCCTATGGACTTAAAGTGATCAGGCCCTAAAAGTTGTTGTGACAAGGTTTCTTTAGCAAGTTCTTGTTTAAATTATCATTTATTTGATGAGTGAAGTTTTTAACTTGCTTTGCTGTGTGAAATTTAAAAAGGGATGTTTTTCCAGGCTGGAACAATAAATGTCGCTGTGCAGTTTAATACTGGGCTGTGTGTATCCATCTAGCTAAGTCTGAAGTTTTTCCTCCAAAGACAACTTTTGTACATAAGTACAGAAATTAAAGTACACCATGTATTTGACAAATCTAGTTTAGTAGACTAGTTCTGTGTACCCTCACCTGCCTCTAATTTTACCCATCCTCATGTATTGTCTGATGTGCAATTCACTTGGTTCTTTTGTGTGCAACATTCAACAATTGTTATGTTTTGGTTAGCGTGGGCATTTAACTGCTCCGTGCCTCTCTTTCTTGATTAAGATAATTTAAATTTTACTGAAATCAAATATATATTGTCAATATAATTCAGCCTTTGTAACTAGGTAGAACCTTTCTTATAGCATAGTTTTACTGTAGTGGTAGGATATAATGGCGACAGTCTTTACCAGTCGACACTCTAGAGCTGTTTACACAGTGATTCAGGCAGCAAAAGCCTCTTACTAGAGGCTAGGAAGAATTATTTCTTTCACGTAGTTGAAGTCCAACAGCTTGGGCTGGCCATTGTGTATTGTGGTAAGGCCAGAGCATTTCAAATTTATGTAAAGTTTTTTAAAAGACAAATTAGTTGTTTCATTCCCTGTTTGAGTAAACAGTTTTCTTGTTCTTGATCTAAGTTCCTGGTTACTTTTGTAGTTTTTCTCTTTTTTTTTTTTTTCCCCCTTCCCCCCCAGTGCTAGCTTGGAACAAACAGTTCAGCCTTTGTCTTTTGACACAGATAAAGCACCTGTAAGCAATGCTCTGTCCAACTGTTTTATGTGCTGATTTCTCAAATCTGCAATAATTTACTTCATCAGGTTAATGTTTTTACCTGAATATAAATAAAAAAGTTTGCTTCACCTTTTTGTTCATAGTTTTGTACTGTATGCCTAAAGTTCAATTGTGTAAATTAGCGTAATGCAGATAAATCATCCTAAATCTACTTGGCTAACAGCCTGCAACTTGTGGATGATTTATTACTAAAACAAGACCTTTTAAGACCTCCAACTTAGAGGGAAATTTTTTCCTTTCTATGCGTTCAAAAACGGGCAATTTATAAATATTCCTGAGATGCACCTGCTATATAGTTCATCTCTTCGAAAATGTGTAATTACTTTTATTCAACTTTGAGAAATCAAAATTCATTTCAGTGCTTAGAAATTGTTAAATTCTGGCTAATCAGGCTAGTATTTCCCCTAAACTAACAAGTTTTTTTTTATCTAGCTGAAGAACTTGTACTTCCAGAATATGTAACGGACATTCTTCCAGTGAACATTCACAGAGTTACCTGTGGTTACTCATACCAGTGCCACTGAAATTTAATGCAAATCTGTCGTGAGCATGAGTAGAATGTGATCCTTGCACAAAGAACCTGATAACTGAACAGTTTCTACTACCGTATTAAAACTGAAAGAAGGCTCTTCACACTGTACATATAATACTGGTAGTGCGCAGTGCGGCATAGTTTTCATAAAACTTCAAGGCAGTGTTTAAACTATGGACTGGTGTTTAAATTGTTCTGATAACTTGATCAAACCGAGCACAAGAAAGTGTTTATAGTTTGTGGATAGCAACTTGTTCATTTTTTTAAGGTTCTATATTTTAAAAAAACTGACTTGTGTAAAAAAAAAAAGAAAGAAGCTAATATTTTCTATTAAAATATCATGTGTATTGATATTTTTTTACCCATGTTGTCTCCCTCTAGAATCTGGCTTTCATCAGTTTGAAATTTTGAGGAGCTTTTAAATTTTATATATAGCCATTGTGTAACTGTTTCAGTGGGAATATAAGTTGTTGGTTGTCTGTTTAAAAAGGAAGGAAAAAACAGGTGTCTGTGGTGCTGAGTTATGTTGTGCTGGCTGTCATTTTCAGCACAAACTAAGGATCTAGTTGGCCTGAAAAGTGAGTGAAACCCTTTTGGGTGATGCTTTTTTTTTTTTGCTTTCCTACCAAGGGCAGCTTTTAGTGCATTAGAAGAGCAGCCTGGCTTAAAAGGTAAAGATAGTAAATTATAAAAATAAACTGAAGAGTCACAGTTTGAATGACTGCAATACTTCCCTACAAATGGAAATGTAGTACCTAAGGGTAGTTGAGAACAAGTGGAGGGGTGGGGCAAGACGTTAGGGATGACTCCTTTGCAGGAAATTTTGGATTAAGGGAGAAGCTCATTAAAATCCTTCTTAGGTGTGTGCAGATGCCTGTTGAGGACTATGTAGCCCTCAGAAGAATGTGTAGTTGTCTTAGTACTGCTTTGTTTACCTTCAATAAGGTACAATAAAAGGTTCAATAAGAAGTCTTATTTTTGAAAACAGAGATCACCAGCCATCAGTTACTATTTTGGTTGAGTTTCATGTCCTTGTAAATTAACAAGAGCAACAAAAAATCATTCATGGAAAAAAGTGCCATCCGTGCACTGATAGCTGCTAGTGAACTTGTGCAGTGATTTTTCTTCGTGTGTTTTTTCATTTGCTTTATACAGAAATCTTTGTGTAGTGAACATTGTAGTACAATGACTAATTCACGTCTGCCGTGAATTAGTAAGTTGTAGTGCTTTATTATGTAGGAAGATGCACAAGAACTAATTCCAATAAAATCCCTATGCCCATTGCCAATCTTAATCAGATGCTCAGATTTTCATACGCAGACTGCTCGCGTAACTGAATTGCTGATTCATCCTTCCTTCCCCTCAGCCATATGTTTCTTTTTTTCTATCTCCTTTCCCATACTGAGCCATCCTCTGCTGAGAAAGTGGATACCTAAGGACAGAGACTGAAATTCCAAGTGCCTGCATCACCTACACCCTCTTTTCTGGCTGCTGCTGGTGGCAGGTCTGTCATCTGTAGAGTTTCTGAGCCCTGTCCCACCCATTTTCAGCGACCTGTCTTCAAATGAACAATACCAGTTCCCATCATCTGAGAAGCCTGTACCTTGGCAGAGAGCTTTCTAACAGGAAATTAAAGTCTACCTGCCTTCAGGGATAATGCTTTGTTTTTAATGTGAAAGTGCTGCCCCAAACCAAAATGCTTTTCTATAGCCAAAGCTGTTGGCAGAATGGAGGGGGAAAAAAAAGCTTTGCTGACATGGATTAGAATAAAAAGCTTGGAAGAGGGCAAAATCTTACTGGTAGCTGAGCCTTTTCAGGGCTTGTCCTGTCTTTTTTTGTACTTTACTTTCCTAGTCTTTTGATAGCTTAAAACTGGAAAACCTCTGTGCAGTGTGCTGTCTCCCTGTGATCTTGCAGGAGTTGTGTGCTCTCAACTTGCTGTATCTCTCCCAGTGTGTTGTGTTCTTTAATAGCTTTTCTCAGATGAGTGTAGTTGGTTGCCCCAAGAGCAGGAGCAGACACCCCACCCCAGTGCACCAGCGTAAGCTGCACATTACAGAACATTAATGCATGTTTATAGAGCAGTTAGCAGTTTTCATAGCTCTACTGCCTGTGACTAACAGTGACTGGCTCAAGGAGTAACTGCTTCAGTGGACAGGGTAGAAGATGCCTTTAGAGGAATACTAATGTCCTTGTCTCCTGGTACTGAAATGTGAATGTATTGAGCAGACATCAAGCTGCTGCTTTGGGGGTGGAGGAGAAATGGGTCTTGGGTCTCTTCCTTTGCTGTGTATCTGGGGTCATGAAAACTTGAACCATGAAAAGGACAACTAAGTGGAGGGGAAATGGTGAAGGTACATCCACTATTTTCAAGGCACGGTTACAAACTTCCTGGTAGCTCTACATCTAGTTTGGCAGCAACTTCTGGAAACCTGGTTCAAAGAGCAAAAAAATAAACAAACAAAATAAACCAACAAAACCCCCAAATACAAAACAAAAACCCAAACGACCCTAAAAGGAGTAATGGGAGAGAAGGAAGTGTACCTCCCACCCTCCAGAAAAAAGAAGGCGATGGAATTCCTAACTCCTGTGGCATCTTCCTGTAGTTAAGAAGGAAACTGTCCAGTTCAAGCTGTGAGCACCATGTTGAGGTAAAGCAACAAGTGTGTGGGGTTGGTGTTTTGTGGGTGTCTTTTTTTTTTTTTATAGTCCTGTCTGTCCCTGTCGTGTTCTTTCCCCACACCCTGCCCCCCGTAGTATTAGGCTGTGGCTATCGCTAAGACTTCATTAAGGACAGAGGTAGGTAAGCCCGGGGGAAAATGTGTGACAGCAAACACCCTGCCCTGTGGTCAGAACAGGAAGAGGTGGAAGGAGGAGGTTTCCCTCTGTAAAGGTAAGCTTAAACACAATGTACACTGAAAGCCAAGGCAGGTTAATGCTAAGGAGATAGTTAATAGCACAGTTAATCCCTTTTCAACAGCTGTTTCCCAAATGATTTCCTAAGTATACAACTGATAGAAAGGTAGAAAAGATCATGAGATTTCGTGAGCTGTCTATGGAGCAGTCTTGCCTGCTACCTGCTCTTAACAGTCCTGGATGGTGGGATCCTACAGGAAGGGAAAAATCCAGGATTTTTAGATCTTTGTCCTAGTATGGAAAACTACTACAATAAACTAGCAGCAGAAACTGTGGCAAATGGCCAACTGTATTCAACAGTATTTTTGTGGCATTTAAACTCAGGAACTAAACATCATGGACTCATGCTTTGTTGCTTTGCCTGTCCTCCCACTCTTTGGTTCCGCTCTGTTCCCATGGCCTCTTGTGGTTGTTCTATATGAATGGGGTTAAATATTGAGAGTATTTGATAGTTTCTGATAGAATCAGAGTACATTTCATAGATCTCTGGTAAAGTAAACCCTATGCTTTCAGGGAAGACAGCAACCTTAACTGATGCTTTTTAGTGAGTTAGTGAAATGGGTCATAAGAGTAAAACCACAATTTAGCGAAACTTTGTCTGGTTTAGGAGGCCCTTGAGCTACAAATGATGGAAAACAGAATATTTAGGGCAAATACCATGTATGTGGCTTTACTCTTCCTTTAGCTGCTATCCAAGCTATTCTAGGGTAAATATAGGCCTGATCTGACTGCAGCTCCTCTGTTCTTAGGACTTCTTGTATGCTTCTTAT